AGTTCCTTAGAAATTTGTTCCTGTGGCTTACTACATACAGGACTCCCAAAATCGGGCCAGGCTGGGGCCTTGGGCAGGGAGCCATTTAGTCCTGTGCCGGCTTCCGGGGGGCCTGGGCAGGGGCTGGTGGGCAGGAGAGACAGGTCTCGGACTGCGTACATCTGTGCCGTCTACACTGGGGAAGGGGTGCATTCGAGGGGCTGCTGCCGGAGGCCCACCACGCACCATGTACCCGTGGCCTTTGGCTGTGGATCCAATGGTGGCCACCCCTTTCTGTTCTGTGCTGCTGACTTCCAAGCACCTCCTTGGCCGTGGGGCGCCCCACAGCCCTCGGCTTTGCCTCCCTCCCCATAGCCAGGCCCTGGATAATGTCCAGGGCAGAGTGACCCTGTGCCCTCCCCCCCACCGTGTCCTGCACAGGCCCCGCTTCCTGAGTACGACTGCGCCGCCGTCCCCACCTGCGAGGCCCGCGCGGGTCTCCCACGGCTCTCCCTGCTGGTGGCCCCGGGCCGCATCCTGGATCCCGCTTGCTCCTTGGTACCAGCCAGTGAGGGTCACGGTCAGGCAGGAGGGCGGGCAGCGGGGGTCCTGGGGGCGCCGGGTTCGGGACTGTGCGTGTCCCTGATGGAGTCCCACGAAGGATGCCCGGGGCCACCCCTGAGGGCGCGTGGGCCAGGCCGGCGTCCCGGATCCGGCTTGCGGCCCGCCGGGAATGCAGGTGCGTAAGGGCGCCAAAAGGAAAACGCTCCAGGCCTCCTCGGGAGGTGGGTCGGGAGGGGCTGGGGGTGGGGAGAGGGAAGGCGGAGCGCTCGCGGCGGGACCGACACCTCCGCACGTGGCGCCCCGGGATGCTGGCGCCCACGCGGGTGGGGCCCGAGCGGCGATCGGGGACAGGGGGCGGCGCGGGGGGCGGGGTGGCCGCACGAGGGGCCGCGTGACCCGGGCGGGGAGCGGGCGGCAGACTCCGGCGCGGGCCGGGACCGGGGCGTGGGAAGCGCGGGGATGCCGGCTCCGGGACGCGCGTGCCCGCGCCGTGGGTTCGCTCCGGCCCAGCGCCTGCCTGGCCCCGCCCCCAGGGCGCGTTCAGCGGGGCCCCGCCCCTCCCGCCGCCGCGCGCCGAGCCGCCCTGTGGGCGCTGTAGTCCCGGAGTCCGCCTGCGCGGGGTCCCCGGAGCCCCAGGCCGCCGCTCGCCAAGCCGCAGGTACTTGTGGGCGCGGGGCCGCGGGGCCGCGTGTCGGGGGCTGCGGGGCCCTGAGGTGACCGCGGGGGGCTGCGGGGTGCCGGGGGGCCCTGCGCTGGGAGCGAGCCGCGGGCTAGGCTCTGCGGGGCTCCGGGGAGGGTGCGGGGCTCGGGGGCTGCAGTCTGGGGTCGGGGGCTCCGGGGAGGGTGCAGGGCTCGGAGCCGGGTCCCCGCGGGCTGCGTGCCGGGCGCCTGCGCGAGTGCAGCGGGTTTCGCGCCGCTAACTTTCCGCCCAGTCGGCTCATGGGTGGCGAGTCCCGCCCCCAGCCTGCCCTTCGCGTCATCCGGGGGCGCCGAGTTCCACCCCTGGGTCTGGAGGAACGCGTGGATCCGGCGCTGGAGCTCAGGCACGTGCTGTTTCGGGACGGGCCAGCCGGCGGGAGAACCCTGCCAGCCACGCGCGGGGCGGGCCCCTGGCACCCCTCCAGGCCTATTGTCTCCTATGCTAGAAGCGTCGTGGGTGCAGCTTTCCCTTGGAACACCTGTGGGCACGGATCCAGCGGAGTGGAGCGAACCCGAGGCTCTCAGCGCCTGGACAGCCGCTGTGGGAGCCTTTCCTGAGCGGGTCCTTCCAGCACCTCTGCGGCAGGAAACCCATCCCCGAGAGTCCTGTCCATCCGAAACGCTTGACCTGGGGAGTCTGGCCTGCCTGCCCTCAAGACACAGGCTGAAATTTAAGCTGGCCCTGAAATGCAGAAGCATCCAGAGCCCTGGAAGGCGCCTGCTGGCCGCCCTGTCAAGAGGTGGCCTCTCCCTAAGGAGGCCTGAGGATCCAGCACAGATTCAATCAGCAGAGCGCAGGCCCCTCTGGCCCAGTGCACCTGCCTGCCGGAGCCAGGCTGGGGAGCCAGGCTGCATCTCACTGGCCGCCTTCACCTGGGTGCCGCCTGTGCACTGCTTGCTGCAATTGCTAATGGCTTTCCTTCTGAAGGGGCTTTGGTGTATTTTTATAGTTCCAGATATTCGAGTTATCTGTGCTGGACAAAGATGAGACACTGTGCTCTTGGGGTGTTGGGCCTGCAGCAGTGACCGCCAGAGGGTCTAATTATGTTCTTAGGAACTCTGAGCTTGGTCATCTCAGCGGGGTTGGTAGGGTGTACAATGCTTTCTTCTTCTTCTTCCTTCTTCCTTCTTCCTTCTTTCTTCTTTCTTCTTCTTCTTCTTCTTCTTTCTTCTTCTTCTTCATTTTCTTCTTCTTCCTCCTCCTCCTCCTCCTTCTGTCTTCTTCTTTTTCCTTTCTTTAACGAGCAGGCATTCTAAAAACATAACAAACATTCCTGGTTAGCCTTCCAGAGTAGGAGCTGGTTTAAACACAGAATGATAGGTGGCTTTTGCCTTTGTTTTGATTGCGAATCTCCAGCCTTCTCACATGCTTGGAAGGACAGAACCTGGGCAGGGTGGTCACTGGGGACAGCGGGTCTGTTAGAACCTTCTCCTGAAGGCAGGGATTCTCCCTGCTTCCCTGTGGCCCTCCTGTCTGGCTGGGAACCTCCTTCAGTTGCCGTGAAGAGGCCTCAAGTGGTATGGGATGGGGCTGGATACTTGGTGTCTAGGCTTCCCCTGGCTTGGGGCTGGATTTCTATGATGGCGTGAGTCTTGGCCTTGCTAGCTGAGTGCCTGTCGGTGGGCTATGTTCACCGCACGTAAGGCCGGCCAGTATGCTGGCAGCAGAGGCTGACTGTTAAGACCAGCAGCTCCTCCTTGCTGGCTGAAACTCCAGCTGTCTTTGATCCTCAGGCCGCAGCCCGGGCTGTGGCTGGGGAGGGACTGCCCTGGCCTTTTCTCCTACAGGCTGCAGAGTAAACAGGGCTTGAGGCCAACCTGCCCTGGGGTTGCAACCTGCTGTGTGCTTTTAATGAGTTTCTTTGGGTCTGTGGTATTCAGCATTTTTTCTATTAGTGGCTGCCATTAAAAATGGATTTCAAATAAGACCCAGGACTTCTGGCCCCTGTTCCTACATGGCAGCCGGAGCTCCTGGGAAGAGCCCAGGCACCTGCTCTGGCCCACCTCACCGCTGTGCCATCACCCGCCTGTTGGTGCTTCAGTGGGCAGCCCCAGGCCTGACTTCAAGGTTTCTGGGGTCTTCATCAGTTCTGTGGAACTGTGGGCAATACACAGGAAGGACGCCTGTGCCAGAGTGGAGCAGGCCTGGCATCCCTGGGTCCCTTGGTTCAGACAGAAGCGGGCACCATCTGCCCTTCGTGGTTGGCCTGACGCAGCCCTCACCACAGCCAGAGGCTGCCTGCCCCCTGCTTCACCCTGGGTGCCCCTGCAGGCGGAACTCTCAGCAGGAGGAGTTCCTGGAGGAGGTCCAGGACTGTGTCCCACCCTGAGGGCACTGGAGAGGGCCTCGTGCTGATGGGAGGGACAGGGTTTTAGAACCCCGGGTCTCAAGTGGAAGTGAAGGTGATGGTGGCGTTGGGGAGCCTGGACGTCTGGCGCTGTCTGACGCCTGCTCTCCCTGGTGTTTCTGCCTCCTCCTGGTGTGAGTGGGTCACGGGACCGGCCCTGTGGGATGTAGGAGTAAAGGTCCTCTTGGGACAGGCTGGCAGCCTTTGTCCAGGATGGGCGCCCCTTGGCCCCAGGTTGAGGAGCAGGGAGTTCCGAATTGCATGGCCCTGGTGCTCCCCTGTGCCCATGGCCGCCCTGCTGGGAGGGCCGGCCCAGCATTCCCGTGGAGACCCCAGCTAGGACTCGGGTTTGCTGGCTTTGCCAAGCAGGTGCCTGTGGGAACTCAGGTGGGAGGCATGCCCTCTTGTGGCTGCTCTGACATGTGCCCTGGCCGTGTGGGGAGGAGTGCTGGCTGGGCCCTGCCACGTGGGGTGGGGGCGCCAGCTGGACCCAGCCATGTGGGGCAGAGTGCTGGCTGGAGGCCCCTGAGCCTGGATGCATGTTGCCTCCTGGATGAAGGCCCACGGTCTGGATGCTCCATCTGGAATGTGTCGGGTCCACTCATGGCTCCGGCCAGCTGCTTCTGTCTAGGGTAACCTGCCTCCAGGAATGCCAGGTCCCTGGGCTCAGGGGCTGGGCCTCCCCCCTCCCATGGGTGTTTCACCCCTGGGTGCCCTCAGCCCCCTCGAGGACACCTGCTTCTCCCTCTGCCCTTTCCTTACTGTGGGCTTAACTGTACTCCCTCCTCTGGGGCATGGGGGGGCCATGTTCCCCATGCTCATGTGCAGGATCAGACCCCAGGCTGAAGGGGACCTGAGGCTTGTACCTGTTGCCACCCGCCCGGGGTGTGACCAGGTGTGTCCCTGGTCTCTAGCAGCATCTGTCCCTGCCTGTGCCCTCCCCAGGCCACCTGGGTGCCGTTAGAGAAGCAGGTATGTGGGCTGCCCTCCGGCCTGTGGGGTGAGTTGTGCCCGCCCGCCACAGGCACACGTGCTGCCCAGCAGTGCTATGCATCTGTTGTGGCTTCAAGCCCTGAAATTTAAATTTTGTTAGTTAATACAATAAGTCAGCAGTTAATTAACTTGGTTTTGATTGGCATTTAAATTGCCCCTTATGGCTGGAGACTTCGATCAGCCTCAGAGACCCTAGCGGTGGTGACAGCCTGGCCTGGGGCACTCTGGAACAGCTCAGGCTGGGGTAGCTCCCAGGTTGGTGCTGCAGGGTGAGGAGGGATCTGGGGTGTGTGTTCGTCTCCAGGGTGGTGTTTGGTCCTGAGTGGCGAGGAGCCTGCACTGGGCCTCGTTCCTTGGGGTGGGAGGCCTGCAGGGCATTTTCTCAACCTCCCCTGACTCCACTCTCCTTCCACACAGAGCATCACCTTCATCCCCTCCGTGGCTGCACGTGGCCTGAGCAGGATGGTGCCCTCCAGCCCAGCGGTGGAGAAGCAGGTGCCCGTGGAGCCTGGGCCTGACCTCGAGCTCCGGTCCTGGCGGCGCCTGGTGTGCTACCTCTGCTTCTATGGCTTCATGGCACAGATCCGGCCCGGAGAGAGCTTCATCACACCCTACCTACTGGGGCCGGACAAGAACTTCACTCGGAAGCAGGCATGTGGGCGCGGGGGCACGGGGGCAGCCAGTGGTGGGTGGGCAGGGAGCAGCTTCGGGGGCCGGGGTGCTTCTCCTGTTGGAGGCGAGAGCTCTGAGGCTGGAGTGGGTGAGTGGCCGTGTCAGCTGATAGTGGTCCCAGAGGGAACCTGGCTGGGGTCTCACTCCCCACAGCGGGCACTGTCGGGTAGAGGGGCTTAGGAACCAGGCTACATAAAAAGTGATGCTGTGTCCCGCAGAGAGGGAGCCTGCCCCACCCTGCCTGCCAGGCTGGGCACATGAGGAAGCCCACATCCAGCCCTGCTGGGCACCTCCTCCTGCAGAGGATTAGTGCCTATTTACCTAAAGAGATTATTGAAGGAATTTTCCTTCTGCTCATTTTACTCAGCCATGAGGACAAAAGCTTTTATTGAAACTGTTGTAATAAACTTATGCCCAATCATGAGTCTCTCAGGCCATGTGAAGGGTGGAGGCAGGAGCTGGCCACATTGTCCTTAGACATGTCTACACAGGAGCCTGGAAGCCTTTGTGGGAAAAGCGTCCTTACAGGCTGCCGGCCCGGCTGGTCACCCCGCACCCATCTCAGGGCCCGCATGCTGCCCGTGAACCTGTCCTGGGCCTGCTCACCTGCCCATCCCAGGCACTGTCCCCGTCCTTGGCAGTGTGGCCACCTGGCCTCTGCACCCACATTGCTGGCACTCCATGTGCCCCTTGTTCCCTGCGTCTTTTGGCCGTAAGCCAGACCCCACGCCTCGAAGACCCTAGGATTGTGAAACTGACGTGCAGATGAGTATACTCTTGGAAAAAGTGGAGGTGCTGCCCTCCCGGTGCCCGGCTCAGAGCACCGTGTGAGTGTGATTGTGTCTGCTCCCACAGACGGCACTGCTGACCGCCAGGGCCGGGTCGCCAGGTCACTTTCCCGGTGAGGCCAGGGTCTCTAGCTGTCGGTGTTGGGGGCTGGTGCTGGAGGGGTGGGGCCACCTCCTTGACCCCTCATGAAGTGCCCTCTGCTCCTGGCCGGTCTGCCCCTCCCCCCCGCCACCCACTGACGGACCAGATGGCATCTCTGCTCTTAAGGAGGGCCATTGTTCAAGGTTATTTATAAGGATGAGCATATGTGTGGAGTTTCCCTGAAGATAAGAAAAGTCTCTATATCGAAAATGTTTAAATCCCGTCTGCTGCCCTCTCACGTTGCACAGTAACTGATTGAAAAGTAGATTCCAGAAAGTAAGCCATTCCTCCAGGCCTGGGATGTCATTGGAGGGACGACGGGTACAGGTGCTCTGCACACCTGCCACCCGGCCTGGCCCCCGATCTCAGCCCCTCTGGCTGCAGGAGAGGCCTGGCCTGTCAGGACCTGCAGCCCCTATTGTTGTGGGTTCGTGTTTAGAAAGATCATGTAAGTGCTGTCTTGTGACTCAGCTTTCGCAAGCTGCCCTCCTTCCCAATCTGACTTGAGGGACATTCCACGTAGGTTCAAGGCTGTTCTTAAGCTGCGCCTAGGGGTTGAACTACAAGGTGCTTCTCTGGCGCTTTGCTGGGGGTGATGGGGGATTCCGGCTTCTCCCACTTCGCGGAACGCTGCGTGTAGAGCACAAGCCGGCAGCCTCAGGCGGTGGGCTTTGACCCAGCTCCTGGGTGACTGCTGCTTCCTCCACAGCCCGCCACAGGTTGCCCGTGTTGCCCTCGCCAGCGCATCTGGCCGCTGTGAGGACCGTGGTTTCCTTTGCGGGCGTTTGCTTGGCTTCCATTTCTCCCGCTGCGGGCCGGTGTTTCCCGGCAGCCCCACGGTTGCTGTCCTTGAGCCTGGTTCCCTTTCTTGCTTCCTGGGGACCCAGTGCCCTTGGGATTGGACTGGCTGCTACATACCGTGTTTCTCTAGAGCCATTTTGAATTCGGCCAGATTTCCCTCCAGGCTTTCTGCTTTGAGTGTCAGCTGAGAGCTCTTTCCCCGCCAGGTCTGTGAGGTGCCCCTGGGTGGGTTGAGGTTGCCTGGGCCACCGCAGAACTGTGCTGTGTGGTGGGAGCTGCAGCCCCCACCCTCCTCCGGGGAGACCCTGGCCCAGGGCCCTGTGCCCAGCAGCCCTTCTCAACCCATGGCCAATGCCTCGACCTCAGCCAGTCCCTGTTGGGTGCCCTTCTGTGGCAGCCGGTCCTTTTGCTGCCCCACACCTGGCCCTGCCCTCTCGTCCTGCCTGCCTGCCTTCGGGCCTTGCCCACCTTGCCACCTACCTGTTCAGAGAAGCTGCCCTAAAGCCAAGCGGGTGTCAATCTGGGCGCAGCTGCCTGCGCTCTGCCCGTCAGCCTGGACCTGACCCGAGAGCTCTGGAGAGCAGGGCAGACGCTGCGCTCAGGCAGCAGGAGCCTGTACTCATGTGGGAGCCATGGCCGCCTGACACATGCCACCTCCCTGCTGGGACCTTTGTTGGGTGGCCCTCCCTCACAGCCTTGTAAGTGGGACGAAGATCATAGCTCTGGCAGAGCCTCCTGCTGTCCCCCTGCCAAGTCTGAGGAAGGGGAAGTAGGGACCACTGAGGCGGCACAGGGAGGGGGCGGGAGGGCCCTGGCTGAGTGCTGGGGGTGTTCAGGCTCCATCTTGACCCCGTGGTCTGCCAAGGGGGAGCACTGCCTTGGGAGCCTCAGTGAAGACCAGGAGGTACCTGGGGAGGCCCCGGCCTACAGAGCCAGCTCCTGGTGGAAGAGAAATGAGGTGTGCTCCATTTATTCAGAGGTGGAAGAGGCTCCTAGGACTCCTGGCTGCCCTTTTCCAGAGAGCAGTGGGCTCTGGGGGAGCCTCTGCTGGCTGTCTGCCATTTTGACTCTGGGCTATGGGCAGGACCTGTGCCCTGCCCAGGGGCTGGGGCTCCCATGGCCCCTCACCGCCTCCTGTGTCTGGGGGTCGGGGTTCCTGAGGTGCTAGGAGGGCCCCTGCCTCCGAGCCTTTTCTTTCAGACTCCGCAGGAGTTCTCTGGGCTGGCCCTGATGAAAAGCCTCCCCAGTCAAGCACGCAGTTGGCCAGGAGAACCTGCCCACAGAGGGGCTCTTTGATGTCCCCAGGGCTTGATGTAAACACAGTGTAGAAACTGGTGGCTGGCCCTGAGGCTCCCGTGACCCGGCCTGGTCACTCAGCCTCCCGGCGCCTGACCTGCATTGAGTGTGTCCCGGAATGTCCTGGGTAGGACGGAGCACATGAGGAACCTTGGGTGCTCGGTGCTGCTGGGGCCACAGCCTTCAGGGCAGGCTCTGGAGTGTGACCTCAGGGTGGCCTCAGGTGGGGTCTCTGGGTAGCCTTCCCCCAAACCCCTTGGAAGCTTCTCAGCATGCTGGCCCTGACCGACAAGCCTGGCTGCAGGGTCCTGTTCCCCAGCTGTTCACAGTCACCGGTGGCCAAGCCATGAGCACATCAGGCGACACATTTGGGTGTGTCACACAAGGCTGAGATGCCCTGGGTTGGGGGGTTGGTGTGGCTTGGGCAGCCCCCAGTGCTGACCCCGGGTTTGGTCCTGTCAAGTGTGGCTGGTGGGGCGGAGGTCACCTGGGGCAGCAGGAACAGGGCTGTGGGGTTGCTGCTGGTCAGGCCTGAGTTGGGTGGGGCCTGTGGGAGGCCCAGAGTCCAGGGAGGCCCTGCTTGCTCTCCTGGTGCCAACCCCCAGCAGATCAGAGGTGGGGTCTGATGGGGCCCCTGGGCAGGGCCACCTGCTGAAAATGCACCTGGGCCCCAGGGAGGCTCCAAGCACAGGGTGGCTCCCACATCAGTCCCCAGGGAGGGGCAGGGCCAGCGGCTTGGGCCTCACAGGACTGGGGCCTCTTCCTCTGGACTGTGCCCAGGTGTGCCCACAGCAGCCCTGGCCCCTGCCAAGCCAGCTGAGGGCATTTGCCTGCCTGGAGAGTCTGGGGCAGTGCCCACTGAACTGGTCCTGCAGGAGACAGCACCCCTGCCCCATGCCCAGCCCCAAGTTCCCAGGGAAGGTGGTTATGTGTTGAGGCCTGGAGTGCCCACTGGCAGCTCAGCAGCCAAGGCTATGGAGCTGGGTTCCCACATAACATGTGACGGAAGAGGCGGGACTGGGCGGGCTGACAGGCTATGCTGCCTCTCCAACGGTGCAGGGTGGCTCCAGGGGCACTTGACCCCCTCCCTTCCCCTGGATTAGAGCCTGGCCTTGAAGACCTTGCTCTGGGGACAAGCGTGAGATGGGAGTGCGCACCCCAGGGCCCTCGGCCTTTCCCCACGCCTGCTCCCTCTCTGCCCTTCTTCACTCCTGTCTTTCTCCCTCTACTGGGTTCCCCACAGTCCCTCCCATGAACCTGCTCTTCCTAGTCCTGCCCTTCCTTTCCGTGTCTTCTGTTTTTGCGTCTCTACAGTGATGATGGAAGGAGCTTGTGTTGGTGTGAATGTGTATGGGTTACAGCTCTGGTTTCCATATTGTTTAAGATGAAACGAAAACATGTTTTTATTAAAAATAGAGAAGCTGGCCCAGCGTGGTGGCTCTCACCTGTAATCCCAGCACTTGGGGAGGCAAAGGTGGGTGGATCACCTGAGGTCAGTTCGAGACCAGCCTGGCCAACATGGTGAAACCCCATCTCTACTAAAAATAAAAAAATTAGCCTGGTGTGGTGGCTCATGCCTGTAATCTCAGCTACTTGGGAGGCTGAGGCAGGAGAGAATTGCTTGAACCCGGGAGGTGGAGGTTGTAGTGAGATGAGATCAAGCCCCTGCACTCCGGCCTGGGCTGTAGAGCGAGACTTCCTCTCAGGAAAAAAAAAAAAAAAAAACGAGAAGCTTAGATCAACAGTGTTGTTAATAACGATGACTTCCGTGGCCACTGCCAGCTTTCTGCAGGCAAATGCCCCCAGGCTGCCGAAACTGATCAGAAAGCGAGGGACCGAGGAGTGTTGCGGGCTGGGGTCACATCAGGCAGTGAAGCAGTCAGCAGCGATGGCCTTGGGAGGTCCCCGTCCCCCGACGCCGCACAGTCACTGACGCCTGCTGGGGCGCACGCTCGCCCGTCCACAGGTCACCAACGAGATCACGCCGGTGCTGCCCTACTCCTACCTGGCCGTGCTGGTGCCCGTGTTCCTGCTCACCGACTACCTGCGCTACACGCCCGTGCTGCTGCTGCAGGGCCTGAGCTACGTGTCGGTGTGGCTGCTGCTGCTGCTGGGCCACTCCGTGGCACACATGCAGCTCATGGAGCTCTTCTACAGCGTCACCATGGCCGCGCGCATCGCCTACTCCTCCTACATCTTCTCGCTGGTGCAGCCCGCGCGCTACCAGCGTGTGGCCAGCTACTCTCGCGCCGCGGTGCTCCTGGGCGTCTTCAGCAGCTCGGTGCTGGGCCAGCTGCTGGTCACCGCCGGCGGAGTCTCCTTCTCCACCCTCAACTACATCTCACTGGCCTTCCTCACCTTCAGCGTGGTCCTCGCCCTCTTCCTCAAGCGCCCCAAGCGCAGCCTCTTCTTCAACCGCGGCGCTGCGGGGCGTGAACCCTCGGCCTCTGCCTCGGAGCTGGAGCGCATGAACCCTGGCGCGGGCGGGAAGCTGGGGCGCGCGTTGCGGGCGTTCTGCTGGGTCTCCGTGCTGGCGCGCATGCTGCGGGAGCTGGGGGACAGCCTGCGGCGGCCGCAGCTGCGCCTCTGGTCCCTTTGGTGGGTCTTCAACTCCGCCGGGTACTACCTGGTGGTCTACTACGTGCACATCCTGTGGAACGAGGTAGACCCCACCACCAACAGCGCGCGGGTCTACAACGGCGCGGCTGACGCCGCCTCCACGCTGCTGGGTACGCGTGCCCGGGTCCCGGCACCCCCCGCCCCCCACCACATTTCCTTCCCCAAGGCTCCCCCCACCTCCCCCGCCCCGTGGCTCCTTCCCCTGGGCTCCCTCCACCATTCCCTGTCCCATGTCCCCCCAGGTGACGCCCCACCTCTCACCCCCCAGGTGCCATCACGTCCTTCGCCGCAGGCTTCGTGAAGATCCGCTGGGCGCGATGGTCCAAGCTGCTCATAGCGGGCGTCACGGCCACGCAGGCGGGGCTGGTCTTCCTTCTGTCGCACACGCGCCACATCTGGCTGTGCTACGTGGCCTTCATGCTCTTCCGCGGCTCCTACCAGTTCCTCGTGCCCATCGCCACGTGAGTTCCAGAAGGCTCTGGGGAGCCCGGGTGGGCAGGCGCTTCCCGGGTGCTCCCACCTCCTGCCGCGCCCCAGCGGCTGTGACACTGCAGGCCCCACCAGCCACCTGGCGCTGACCAGGGTCTGCCCTAAGTCTCCGTGGGACCCTGCCTGTGCCGTCCTGCTCCTCCCCCAGGCCCTCCACATGCGCTCCTCTCTGAAGCCTGCCGGGCTCACAGCCTTGCCCTGCTCCAGGTTCCAGACTGCTGAGAGCCCACCCAGGCAGGAGGGAGGGCCGGCACCTGTGCGAGTTCATGCTCAGCTCACACCCACAGCAGGCACTCACACCACACAGACGCACAAACGCTCACACATGGACACACACCACACACTCATGAACACACACCACATATTCACACGTGGACATACTAAGATGTGAACACCACATGCTCACAGATGGACACACACCACACGCTCACATGGCATGGACGTACCCACACGTTGGCACACTCACCACATGCTCAGACCACACACATTGCCACACTCAGACACTGACCCTGCCTACTCACACCAGCCCCTGCCTCCCTGGCCTGTTCCCTCTTTCCTGCCTCCTGGGAGGACCCTGGGCTTCATCTCCGGAGTGGCCTTCAGGCCCTGCGCCCCTCACCCCATGGACTGGCCCTTACGTTGTGCCGTCTGTGCCCGTGGCCTGACCCCTCACCATCCTGCCTGGACGTTCCCAGCCCTGCACTGCCCCACCCTCCCCACACGCAGGCAGCTCCTGGCATGGGCAGCCCAGCTCACCCTTCTCTCCTTCCCTGCCACACTTGGGGGCCCTTCTGCATGCTGCAGGGTGGCTGCCTGCTTCACGCTCACCAAGGCCCACCGTGGGCTCTTGCTGCCCCCCGCCTGTGACGGCCAGCTTGCTCGGGCCCCTCCCTGTCTTGCCAGCACTGTGGAAAGGGCCAGGGCCTCTGCTGTCCCATTGCCGTGTCCAGGGGGATCACACCCGAAAGGTTTTAGTTATAAAGTCATTGGTGCCCGTCACAAAACCTCAGACACAGGGCAGCAGTGTACAAAGCGGAAAACCGCCATTTGCTCCTGGGAATCCGGCATTTTTTGCTCATCTGTGTTGGGTCAGTGTCAGACACAGACATAGGTGGTCACTGCTGGTCATGAGTGGTAGGCCTCACAATCCACCCCTTGTGGATGGGTAAAGTCACCATTTCCATTTTTCTTACAATAGAAAAACACTGAGATGAATGTCCTTCTACCTACATTTTTCTTTCTAAATTCTTTTTTTTTTTTTTTTTTTTTTTTTTTTTTTTTTTTTTTTTTTTGAGACAGAGTTTCGCTCCTGTCTCCCAGGCTAGAGTGCAGTGGCGCAATCTCAGCTCACTGCAACCTCTGCCTCCTGGGTTCAAGCAATTAACCTGCTTCAGACTCCCAAGTAAGTAGCTGGGATTACAGGTGCGCGCCACCATGCCGGCTAATTTTTTGTATTTTTTTAGTAGAGACGGGGTTTCACCAGGCTGGCCAGGTAGGTCTAGAGCTCCTGACCTTGTGATCTGCTCACCTCAGCCTCGCAAATTCTAATGGTCCACAAGTGGATTCCTGGGAGGGAAATGGCCAGGCTGGAGAGTATGTGCTTTTGAAAGGTTTCTGTCCATATTGCAGGTACCCTACAGGCCTGCATGCGGGCTTCCTCCCCGTCAGGATGGCGGATGGCCTCCCCAGCCTCCCTGAGCCCCTGACAGGAAGCTGGACTCCCAGCCTTTCCTTAACCAGAGCAAGGCCTGCTATCCTGCTGTGGACCGAGTGGCCACTTGTGTCTCCTGACTGCTGGGACTCGCTTTCCTCCCTGCTGATCTGGAGTGCCCTCATATGTATCACGTATTTTCAATCACGTGTGCCCCCATCACACCCCACACTTGTTTGCCTTTAATTCCACTGATGGTGTTTTCCGAGCACCCTTGGAAGTACCCTGGGGGCTGGCCTGGGTTCTGCCCTGCCTAGCAGCAGCGTCCAGAAGCTCATGTTCGTGCTGGTTCTCCATGTGTCTGGTTGCCCCTTGTCCTGCTGACCTGCTCCCCGGGGCCTCTGTGTGTTTCTCATTTTCCCTGCCACCTGCTCGCCCGCGTCTCTGCTCTCTCCGCTGGCGCGGTCTCCACCGCCCAGCAGCACAGGGAGCTCCATCCTTCTCTGAAGGGTTTCTGGGCGTTTTTGTTTATTTTTTCTTAAGGTGAACTTTAGGACATTTTTTGTCCAGTTTATTTTGTAAGCACTTTGTGGATTTTAATTGGAACTGCATCCAAAGACTAGTTTGTTTGCAGAGCACCAGAAGCCTGGCATGTCACCTTTCCATGTGAGGAATGTGGCGCCTTCATTCCTGGACATGTGCAGGCCACCGCTCACCTCCAGGGCCCGCCCTACCTGGCTGCCACTCACCCCCAGGACCCGTCCTACCCTGCCTCCAGGGCCGGCCCTACCCTGCTGCCACTCACTTCTAGGGCCCGCCCTGCCCGGCTGCCACTCACCTCCAGGCCCGCTCTACCCAGCTGCCACTCATCTCCAGAGCCCACTCTACCCAACTGCCACTCACCTCCAGGCCCGCTCTACCCAGCTGCCACTCATATCCAGAGCCCACTCTACCCAACTGCCACTCATCTCCAGAGCCCACTCTACCCAACTGCCACTCACCTCCGGGCCCGCCCTGCCTGCTTGGCCTGCCCCACCCAGCTGCCACTCACCTACAGGGCCCACCCTGCCCGGCTGCTCGCCCACCGACTCTGATTTCACTGCTCTTCCCCTAATTTATCAAACATTTAATCATGAAAGACTTTCGTTCCAGACTTTTCTGGCTGTGCCCAGAGGTTCCCTTGAGGAGGATTTTCTGAGCGTTTTGAGATGGCTGTAACCTGGTCTGTCCCAGAGCTCAGGGAGCCCTTCTGGGCATCTTCTTGAATTTGTGTTTTGTGGCACCCATGGTACAGTTTCAGCATCCCCAATGAAAACAATCCAGAATTCGGCCAGGCACAGTGGCTCACGCCTGTAATCCCAGCACCTTGGGAGGCTGAAGCAGGCAGATCACCTGAGACCAGGAGTTCGAGACCAGCCTGGCCAACATGGTGAAACCCTATCTCTACTAAAAATACAAATATTAGCTGGGCGTGGTGTTGCACGCCTGTAATCCCAGCTATTCGAGAGGCTGAGACAGGAGAATTGCTTGATCTCGGGAGGCAGAAGTTGCAGTGAGCTGAGATTGTGCCATTGCACTCCAGCCCGGGCAACAGAGTGAGACTGTCTCAAAAAAATAATAATAATAATTAAGAATTTGAAATACTCCAAAAGCTGACAGTTTTTGAGCACTGAAAAGACAGCCCAGTAGAAAGTCTCACACCTGACCTTGATCTATGAGTCTTGGTCAGAACACAGTCAGAAGTTTCTTCATGCACAAAATTATTCAGAATATTATATAAAATCACCTTCCAGATGTGTGGATACAGTATGTATGAGACATAAATGAATTTCATGTTTAGACTTGGGTCCTATCCTCAAGATATCTCATTATGGATATGCAGGTATTCCAACATCCCAAACTTATAGTCCGGGCATTTTGGATAAGGGACCCTCTCCCTGTACTGAGCCAGGGGGATGTAGCAGCTCCCAGAGTGGCCCCTCGAGGGTGGGCAGCCTGGGTGCTGGCTCCTGCCTGCTGGGGGTGGGCATGTGTGGGGGAGATGGTGGTCTGGTGGGGAGCTTGTGCATCCCAAGGCCCTGTGGCTGCCGAGTGGGTCGTGGGTGGTGGGAGCTAGACTGCAGGCATGTGTGGGGGAGATGGGGGTCTGGTGGGGGCTTGTGCGTCCCCTGGGGCCCCATGGCTGCCCAGTGGATCGTGGGTGGTGGGAGCTGGGTGGGCTGTGGGCTTTCCCCTTGCTGCGTCTCATTCTCCCGGCAGTGCCTGATCGTCGCTCTTCTTGTTCAGCTTTCAGATTGCGGCTTCTCTGTCTAAAGAACTCTGTGCCCTGGTCTTCGGGGTCAACACATTCTTTGCCACCATTGTCAAGACTGTCATCACCTTCATCGTCTCAGACATCCGGGGCCTGGGCCTTCCTGTCCGCCAGCAGGTGAGCCGGTTTCAGGCATGTCCTCGGGGACGGAAGCTACTTGTGGGGACGCTGCCAGGGCCTCCTGGTGCCTACCTGACGTAGAGGCCACTGTGGGCTGGGAGTGTAGTGTGTGGGCCTGGGACTTCCAGGGAGACACACCGACCAGAGAGAGCAGGAAGTGAGAGAGGCCCCAGCAGGACTCCGCTGTCTGTTGTGGGCGGGAGCGTCTGCGGGTCCTGGGCCTCCGTGGGAGCAACAGAGCCTCTGCTCGCTGTGGCGGACCTGGTCTCTGCTCTCTGCTCTCTGCCTGTGGCTGCTGGAACATGGTGTCCTTGAGCCCTGGCTAGAGGCCACCTGAGCTTTGTTCTCTTCAGCAGAGCTGAGCGGAGGCTCTCAACAGTGCTGGAACACAGGCCTCTGTGGCACCCACCCGCTTCCTGCCACAGGCTGGCTTTTGCTGCTTCTGAGAAGAGCTGGAAAACACGTTTTTAACTCCTGATGGTCCCGGCCAAGGCAGGGTCTCTGAGTGAGCTGAAATCAGCCACAGTGGGTGTGGTGGGAGAGGCCCTCCGGGTTCCTTGGGACTGTCCCCCAGCCTGCCGCTAGACAGATGTCCTTGGAGCTGGGACAAGGGCTTTGTCCACCTGGGGCCCAGGTCTCGCTGTGCAGGAGGGCTGTCAGGGTTGGCCCTGATCCTCCAAGGGCGCCCAGTCTGTTCAGCCTCAGTGAGGCCTGGGCAGTAGCAGGCAGCCCCTCCAGCTTGTAAATGCCTTTAGGTGAGGATGGCTGTTGGTTGCTTGTGGAAATGCATCTTCAGCCCCAGTGTCATTAGGGCCTGTCCACACTGGCAGGCCTTGTGGCCCTGTTCTACCTCCGGGGGCACTACCCCCACCCTGGTGTGAACAGTCGGACGGGTGAGCCTCTGAGGCTGGAAGGTGAACAGGTCCAGGTCCAGGTCCAGCCCTGCGGACACAGCCCGGGTAGATGGTGGCTGGGCTGTTCTCAGCTCTGTAGAAGAGAGGCCCGGAAGGTCTCTGTTGGCTGCATGGTCCTGGGGTGGGGGTGCTGGCAGCAGTCTAGCTGGCCCTGGAGGGACCCAGCATCCAGGAGGCCCTCCTCATTCTTGGAGCCCTGAGTTACCTCTGCCCCTAGACAGCAGTGGTTGCCAGCATGTATGGGCAAGGAGGGCCTGTCCCAGGGAGACTCCAAGGGCCCTATGTGGCCCTGGCTGGGCTGGGCCTGGCTTTTGACCTGCCTCTGGGTGCTGCCTGCCCCCCACTACCGTGCCCCCCATCCTTCTGTGATAGCCTCTTGTTCAGCTCTGGTAGCTGGAGGGGCAGACGCTAAAGGGCCCTTTAGGGACCCTGTGCCCCCAAAGCTGCCCTGTGGAGGAGACCCCTTGCAGTGGGCTTTCAAGGGCCCATGGGGGCTCGGTGCAGGGAGTGGAGCAGTTCTTCCCCAGAGGGCTAGTCACGAGGAGGCCCCTTCTTAGCTGGTCCTGGTCCCGGCCCCTCCCACGTGGTGGTGCAGCCGGGGAGGCAGAGGCAGGTTCTGGCCTGTGGTTCCTGGTGGCCTCTTGTCACATGGGAAAAAACACACGGACTTTTCTCCAACTGCTTTGATTTCCAGGCTAAAAAGTAACTCACGGGGCATTTTGCTCTTGGCTAAACACCCTGTTTGGCCTAGAGGAGGGTGGTGCCAGCCCATCTTGCCCCCGCCTATGCCTGGGTGCTGGTTGTCCACTCCTTCCTCCTGCACACGGGGAACAGTGGGGCCGAGAGTCAGGCTTGGTGGGGTAGAGTCTGGAGATGGGTAGGAGCCGTGATGGAGCATGGGGAGCAGCCAGGCCTGGAGCTCGCCTGGGTTCACCTGGTTTTTAAAGTAAGCTTTATATTTGGTAAAGCTGTTATTCATGTGCTGTTTAGTAAATAATACAGGGAGATCCAGGTACCCCACATGCAGTTGTCCTGTTGCTCACATCTCACGGTTCTGTAGCACATCACAGCCAGCATCCACATCACAGCCGTACAGCCAGGATCCAGAACATTCTATCCCCACAGCGATCCCTATGCTGCTCTTTGAGGCCACGCCCACCTTGTTCCCAGCCTCACCTTCTCTTCAATCCCTGGCAACCACTACCCTCTTCTCGGTGTGTGTGATTTTGTCGTTTCAGGAGTGTTGCATAAACACAGTCATGCATTGTGTGTCCTTTAGGGCTTGGCGCTTTTCACTCAGCATTGTTGTCTGAGCACTCATCCAGCTTGTTACTGTGGCACTAGCTGATTCCTTCTTGCTGCCGAGTGGTGTTCCAGGGTGTAGACATTCCACACTTTATTTAACTGTTCACCATTGAAGGACTTGTTTCCAGTTTTGGGGCTAGATTTTCATTTCTCTGGGATACATGCCCAGAAGTGCAAGTGTTGGGTCACAAGGTAGTTAGTTGCCTGTTTCTTAAGAAGCTGCCCACTTTCCAAGGCAGTTGAACCGTTTTATATTACCACCTGCTACCAGCAGTCTTTGAGAGATCCAGTCGTAACATCTTCAGGGTTTCAAGTTGCCACTATTTTTTGTTTTAGCCATTGGGGTAGATGTAGTAATATTTCCTTGTGGTTCTAATTTGCATTTCCCTGGTGAATAAGGATGTTGAAAATCTTTTTATGTCCTTATTTTCCATTTGCACATTTCTTCATGTCTTCTGCCCATTTTCTCTTTGGAGTGTTCATTTTTTATACTCTTGAATTTTAAGCATTGTTTATTCCAGATATTGGTCCTTTGTTGGATATGTACAGTTTGCAATTTTTTCCCCAACTCTAGCTTGTGGTTTCATCTACTTAACGTGGTCTTCTACAGAACAAGAGTTTTTTAACTCCCGTGAGGTCTGATTTGACAGTTTTTCCTTTTACGGAAACTCTTTGCCTGGCCCTAAATTCAGAAGATTTTCCCCAGATTTCTTTTTTAAAGTTTCGTATTTTTACATTTAAGTCTTTGATCTGCTTTGAGTTAATTTTTGTATAAGGTGTGAAGTTTAGGTTGAGGTCACTTTTTTTTGGCCTGTGTGTATTCCAGCATCATCTGTTGAAAAGACTTAGCTCTCCCCATTGAATTGCTTTTGCACCTTTGTCAAAAGTTGAGCATATGTATGTGAGTCTGTTCATGTTTTTTTTAATTCTGTTCCATTGAACTGTGTGTTTACTCTTGTACCAATATTACACTGTCTTGGTTATGAAGCTTTATGGCAAGTTTTGAAATTGGAAGCTTTATGGCAAGTTTTTTCTGTGTATGTTCCTCCCTGGTATCTCTGTCTTCTTATAAGCACACCCAGTCAGGTTGGAGTAAGACTCCATCCTTCTGACCTTATTTAACCTTAATTACCTTTTTAAAGGCCCTGCCTTCAAATGCAGTGACATTGTGGGTTAGGGCTTCAACATGTGAATTGGGGGATGGGTTCACGATTCAGTACGTAACAGTGTTTATTGGATAGACTGACTGCTCCAGCTTCTTTTTATTCAGAATTGTTTCCACTATTATAGTTTCTTTGCCTTTCCATATACATTTTAGAGTAATCGTGTTTGTATCTACAAAAACTCTTGCTCAGATTTTGTTAGGAATTGCAATTAAGCCAATATATCAATTTTGGGAGAATTGACATGTTTACTGTGTTTTTCAATCCATGAACATGGTATATCTTTCAGTTTATTTAGATCTTTGATTTCTTTCAGCATTTTGTAGTTTTTAGCATATGAGTACTGTACATGTTTTTAGTTTATATGTATATATTTTTTAAGTGAATCAAACCATGTTTTGAAATTTGTTATCTGCATTAGTCTGTTTGGGCTGCCATTACAAAGTATCACAAACTGAGTGACATAAACAACAGAAATATATTCTCTCTCAGTTCCAGAGGCTGGAAGTTTGAGATAAGGTGTTGGCAGGTTGGTGTCTCCTGATGCCCCTCTCCTTGGCTTACAGTTGGCATCTTCTCCCTTTGTCTTCATGTGGTATTTTTTCTGTATATGTTCTTCCCTGGTATCTCTGTTTTATAAGGACACCCAGTCAGGTTAGAGTAAGACCCCATCCTTTTGACCTCATTTAACCTTAGTTACCTTTTTAAAGGCCCTGTCTTCAAATGTAGTGACATTGTGGGTTAGGGCTTCAACGTATGAATTGGGGGATGGGTTCACAATTCAGTCCATAACAGTGTATATGTGTTTATTGCTAGTGTATAGAAATAGTTGATTTTTGTGTGTTTATCTTGTAGCCTGCAATTTTGCTGAGCTTACTTATTAGTTTTAGGAGGATTTTCCATTTTTTGGTCTTTGTTTTTGAAATTCCTTGAGATTTTCTATGTAGATAATTATATTGTAAAAGATATGCAGATCAGAAAGGAAGAAATATGCGAATATTCTATGAAATAAAAGATATATTCTATGAAATAAAATATATTTACGTATTTCTTCCTTTCTGATCTGTATATCTTTTATTTCTTTTCCTTGACTTATTAATTCCCTCCCTCTGTTTGCTTTAGATTTATTTTGCTCTTCTTTTTCTGGGTTTTTGAAGTGAGATATTGATTAGAAAAATTTATGCATCTAACACTATAAATTTCCTGCTCAGTGCTGCTTTAGTTGCATCCCATAAATTTTAATAGGCTGTGTTTTCATTTTCACTTATTTCAGCATATTTTTTGACTCATTATTATTTCAAATTTTGTTGTTTAATTTCCAAGTATTTTGAGATTTTCTTGTTATATTTCATTATTAATTTCTTTTGATTCTATTGTGATCAGAAAACACATTCTATATTATTTAAGTCCTTACAAATTTGTTAAGATTTGTTGTAAGACCTAGAATATTATCTGTTTTGGTATACTGTGGACACTTGGAAAAAATGTATATTCTGCTTTTTGGGTGGAGTGTTCTGTATATGCTGATCATATCTTATTGGCTGATGGTGTTGATTTCATCTCAATTCTTGTAGATTTTCTGTCTACTTTTATTATCATTGAGAGAGGGGTATTAAAGTCTCCCAAGTATAATTGTGGATCTGTTTCTCCTTTCAGTTCTGTCATGTTTTTGTGTCACATATTGGCAGCTCTTTTGTTTGTTGCATATACATTTGGGATTGTAATTTGTCTTGGTGGACTGACTCTCTTGTCAATTATGTAATAGTGGGATTATATAATGTCTATCTCTGCCTCTGGTCTTGTTTTTTTCTCTGAAGTTTACATTAGCTGATGTTAATGTACCCACCCCTGCTTTTCTTTGATTCATGTTTGCATGATACCTCTTTTTTCATTGTTATACTTTCATCCTCCTTATCTTGGTATATATGATGTGAGTTTCTTGTAAACAGCATGTAGTTGAGTTGTATTTTTAAATCTATTTTGCTAATCTCTGTCTCACATTTGGTGTATGTAAACCGTTTATATTTAATATGATAATTTTTATATTAGGGCTTAAGTCCGCCATTTCATTTTTAATTTTTCATTTATTCTCTGTTTTAGTTTCTGTTTACACTTTTTACAGTTTCCAGTGGGTGCACATCCCTTACAATTTTGTTTGGTTTATCTGTTGTGTTTTTGAATGCACTTAGTATAGCTATTGTGGTTGCTTTATGTATTACATTACCAGTTTGAGTGAAGTATAGAAACTTTGCCTTCCTTTATGTCACTTTGTCATCTTCCACTATATAGTACAATTATCTGAAATATTTTCTCTACATATTTTTATTGCCACATAAGATAATGTTGTAATTTTTGCATTAATCATCAAACATATTTTAGAAAACTCAGGAAGGAAAGTCTGTTTTATTTACACATAATGTTACCTATTGTGGTATTTCCTCTTTCCTGTTATTTCAAGATTCCTTTCTTCTTTAGTAATTTCCTTTCTGTTTAGAGAACTTTTTTTTTTTTTTTTTTTATTTTTTTTTGTCATTATTTTAGGTAGATCTGCTGGTTACAAATTCTTCTCTTTGTTTTTCTTCATCTGAGAATGTCTTGATTTCTCTTTTATTCTCAAAGGATGTTTTCACTGGATATAGGATGTTGGGAAGACAGTATTTTTTGTTGTTGTTGTTGTTTTAGCATGTGAGAAATGTGGTGCCTTTCCTCATAGCTTTCAGGATTTATGATGACAAATTACTGTCATTCAAATTGTTTGCCCATAAGGGGTCATTTTTCTCTGGCCACTTCCAACATTTTTTCTTTTATTTTTATCTTTAGCTTATAGAAGTTTAAATATGGTGTGTGTTGGTGTGGTTTTGTTTGGGTTTTCTATTTAGGGTTCACTAAGCCTCATGAATCTGCAGTGCATGTCTCACCAAATTTGGGAAGTTTTCAGCCATTATTTCCTGAAGTGCTTTTTAAACCCAACTCCTTTTCTCCCCCCCCCCTTTTTTTTAGAACCCTCATGTCACAAATGTTAGATCTTTGTTATGTAGTTCCACAAGGAATGAAGCATTGTTCATTTTTTTCACTCTTTTTATTTTGTTCAGATTGGATAATTTCTATTATTCTAACTCTAGTTCACGGATTCTTTTCTCTACCTCTTCTATTTTGTTGTTGAGATGGTTCATTAAGTTTTAAAATTTTGGTTGTTGTATTTTTCAGTTCTAATCTTTTTTATTTCTCCTGTTTCTTTGCTGAGACTGTGTTTTTTCTTTGTTTGTTTTCAGCATGTTTGTTATTGTTCACTGAAGCATTTTTATGGTGGCTGGTTTAAGATCTTTCTTGAATAATTCTACCATCCCTGTTGTCTTAATGTTGGTGTCTATTAATTGTCTTTCTGTTGAGATCTTTGTGGTTTAGGATGTTGAGGGACTTTTTTAGTGAAATGCAAGCATTTTGGGTATGATGTAATGAGACTGGACCTTATTTCAGCATCCTGTTTTGGCTGGCGCAGCTCCCGCAGGTCATGTGGGGTGTGCACCTTGCTACAGCCAGGTGGGGTGGACGTCCAGATTCCCACTCAGCCTTTGTGACACCTGAGGGAGGATGGGTGGCTGGGTGGGGGCTCCTTCTTGTTGCCAGGCAAGGATGGGAGGCCAGTTCCTCCTGTGGCCTCCTGGATGCCCCTGGGGTTGGGACATTCTCATTATTGCTGAGTGGATGGAAGTCTGGACTCTCTGCTTGACCTCCTCTGACGTCCCCAGCATGGAGGGGGACGGGCACTCTCTCATGCATCTAACACTATAAATTTCTCACTCAGTGCTCCTTCCTGTTGCCAGGCAAGGATGGGAGTCTAGTTCCCCCTGTGGCCTCCTGGATGCCCCTGGGGTAAGAGGCCTGGCCTCCCTGTAGGCTTTGGGGACAAAAGTCTAGGCATCCCTGTGGTCTCTGCTGACTCCATGGGGGTGAGAGTGGGGGTCTTTAAAGCTGTAGTACCCACTGGCGTTGTCTGACACCACCCCACAGGGCACTTGGGGGTCCTTGTTACAGGCTGAGGGGGTGGGGTCTCCTTGCTGGTGTGGTGGGTGGAGTCGAGGTCTGGTGTCTGGTAGGAGCAGGTGATTCCTGTCTCAGGGTCTTTCCTCTCGCTGGGCCCCGCCTTTCCTGGTCCTTAGGCCGGAGAGAGCCGCTTTCATGGGCTCTTTTTCCTGCATCTGTTGGCATTTCGAGGTTGCTGCCTTCTTCAGTAGCAAAATATCTGAGGTGAAAAGAAAGGCACCAGGGAGCTCCGTGTGGTGCAGCTCCTCAGGCCCTGGTGGTCGGCCCGCCTGCCCCCACTTTCAGCGTCTTCCTGTGTGTGTATCTCAGTGTCTTGGGTAGGAGAAGAACAGGGAGAAGCATGTCAGCCCCTCTTCCTGAGTTTGCTTTGAAAACAGCTTTCCTGGAAGGGAGCCGGTGCCATTGGGCTGTGGGATTCTGGCCTGCGGGCGTGGACTGGGGCCTCAGGGGTCTTGGGTGGGTCTCACTGGCCTCTGGCTGGCAGAGTCCTGAGAGTGCTGCAGCCTTCTGAACCCCCTGCGCCTCCAGGAGTGATGAGGTCTGTCCCTGGTATCCCAGGAACATTTCCAGTCCCTCCTTCCCGTGGCAGCTGCGAGAACTGGGAGAGACGTGGCCACTGCCGGCACCGCTTCTTCTGGTCATTGCAGTGCAGCTTCTGCTGCCGAGGTGGAGATGGGCTCTGTGTGCAGGCTGCTGAGGGGTCGCTTTGGGCGTGAAGCCCTGGGGAATAGCTCTTGGTCACCTGCTGTGGCTCCCCTCACCCAGCTCTGCAAGGCGGGACGTTCTGGCCCTCATGGATGTCCCCCCTGCGGATATATTGGCACCATGGGTGGGCACCAGGCCCCACAGAGCAAGGCCCTCGGGAGCAGACGCCGCAGGCCACGCAGAAGCAGGCCACATGCTGGGTTCCAGGCCCTACAAAGCAGGAGCCTTGGGGGCAGATGCTTCGGGCCACGCAGAAGCAGGCCACATGCTGGGTTCCAAGCCCCACAAAGCAGGAGCCTTGGGGGCAGATGCTGCAGGCCACGCAGAAGCAGGCCACATGCCGGGTTCCGAGGGGTTCTTGGGAAGCAGTGGGAGCCCCACTTCAGGCCTGTACCAGGCTGTGGCGGGAAGGGGGTCTGGTGGCGGGCCCTGTGGCACCTGCTCCTGGGCCTGGCCTCTGGCTGCTGTACAGTGTTCAGGGTCAGCCTCTGAGCTGGAAGGAGAGCCCAGGAGCTGGTGTCGGGGCTTGAGGGGCCAGCATCCAGCTGGGCCCTCCCCGCCCACCTCACCCGCCTCTCTTTCCAGTTCCAGTTATACTCTGTGTACTTCCTGCTCCTGTCCATCATCTACTTCCTGGGGGCCATGCTGGATGGCTTGCGGCACTGCCAGCGGGGACGCCACCAGCCGCTGCCCCTGGCCCAGGACCTGAGAAGTCCCGAGGAGGAGAAGGCTGCACTGGCGCTGAGCGTGCAGGACAAGGACCTCAGAAGCCTGCCGCCAGCCCAGGGCCCGAGGCTCTCCCCAGAAGACAGCCTGGGGGCTGCGGGGCCGGGCTCTGGGGAGCAGAGACAGAGCGACCTAGCCCCCGCCCCACTGGCGACTGGATTCCTGAGCCCAGTGCCAGCCCCTTCCGCCTATATTCTGGGTCCCACCCAAGCCTCAGGCCCTGACTCTGCAGCTGAGACCTGTCCCCAGTCAGCTGTCCCTCCTCCTGGCGTCAGCACGCTGGGTTTGCAGCGTCATTTAAGTGTCAGCGTTCAGAATGTGAGCCAGTGACTCGGGGAGCCCTGTGGTAACTTTGCAGGTGGCCCTTGGTGCACCCCCGTGACCCCCACCTCGAGAGCCGCCTGCCTTAGCCATGGGGGCCTCCGCCTGTCCTGCTGGCAGGGCCCCTAGGACTCCCCCCTGCGCTACGTTGCACTCTAGGGGTGGCTGCAGCCTGCTGGCGACACTCAGGGTGGCCATGCTGTGCCCCGCTGGCTTTGGTTGCTGGAAGAGGTGAGTGGTGGGCTCCTTCGTCCACCAGGCCTTATTGGCTCACGTCCTTGGGAAGCCCGAGACAAATCCTCTCTGTCCCCCAGGGCTGGCGAAGTGGCCTTAGCAGCTCAGGGGACACTGGCCCCACAGGAGTTGTGAGCCCTCTAGGGCAGGGTGGGAGCCTGGACCCCCGGGCATAGCTGAGTTGTGACATGCTGGTCGTTCTTGGTGCTTTTGCTTTTTGAAAGATGCTCTGCTTTTTTTTTTTAACTGACATAGAACGAAGAACTGCATGGGGCTTCTCTGTCTCTGTGGGAAAGCCATCTCAGGTTGGTGGCAGAAAAGTCCCCATCAGAGGGCAGCCGTGGGTCTAGTCCTTGGAGCTAGTTCCTTTTCTCAGCTCCAGGGGCTTTGGCCCAGAGCCCTCCATGGTCCTGTCTGCCCTTCCGAAGTGCGTTAGTCCTGACCTGCGGTCCTCAGCTGCTCCCATGCTCACGCCAGCCCAGAGAGGATGGGTCCTGGTCACCGCGGACGTGCTGGCCTTGATGTGTGCCGGGCTTGCCTGGCTGGGGGGCCTTGGATGGCAAGCCCTGATGCTGCAGCTGAGACCCATCCCCAGCCACTGTCCATCCTCCGGCGTCAGCATGCTGGGTTTGCAGGGTTGTCCAAGTGCCATCGTGGTGGCCGCTGGGGAAGGGTGTCTCAGCAGCCTCCAGGTCTGAGGAGCGTTAGCGCCTTGCTCACAGGTGCGGAACTGTCTGATGTGATGTGAATGCTCTTCCCAGATACATTAAACACACTTGTCACATGCGTGTGAGCAGGGCTTCTGATTCCAGGCCGGCCTGGCCTGGGGATTGAGGGTCAGCAGTCAGCGAGGAGGGCAAGAGAGGGGTCCCAGCCTTCTCCCCCAACCAGCCCACTTGGGGTCTTGGTGCCTGTGAGCTGAGCCTCCCGCCCCACCCTAGTCCACGGCCCTATCCTGTGGGGTCTCTGCCACATCTCAGCAGCGCCCGGGTGAGAGGCTGGCTGCTCACCAGCTCAGCATGGAGAGCTGGGACAAAATCTCTGGCTGGGGAGGGGCTGCTGGGCCCAAGGGTCCCCCTGAGGTATCTCAGGGGAGCAGGGCATCTTGGGGTACCCTGGGATGAGGGTGAGGCAGAGGCTGCACGTGCGGGACGGCCCGAGTCAGTGGATGGTGCTGGTCAGATGAGGCCGTGGTCCCGGCATCCAGGGCCCTGCCACAGCCACCCTAGGGATCCTGCTGGAAGGGTCTGCACCAGCCATTTCCTGGCTGTGGATCTGGCAGGATGTGATGGGCAGAGGTGGGCTGGGCCTGTGCCGTGGGCCAGAGCATCACTGGGAGGCCCAAACCCCCATCAACACCCTCCCGCTAGTGCCTCCCGGACCCAAGGCCCTGCTCCCTCCGCAGCCTGCCCACTGCACCCACCGCCTGCTGGCTCTGAGCCCTGCACTCACCTGGTCACCAGGACGGGGATGGCTCAGGATGAAGTGTTCCCTGGGAGCAAGCCAGGTCCTGCTGTGGGTGTACATGGCGAGTCCTGCCCGAGCACATAGGTTTGGGGGCTGGGGACCCAGGTGCAGACCCACTCCCACGGTCCTGAAGTCAGAGCTGGCAGCCGGGGAGACCTGAGCGAGTCAGTGTGTGTCCACAAACACATGCATACCTGTGTACTTGTGCACAGTATGTATGCTCTGGCACACCTGTGTATGTCCAAGCTCACCTGTGTATGCCCAGGTACACCTGTGTATAGCTGCACACCGTGTATGCCCAAGCACACCTGTGTGTAACTGCACACCTGTGTATAACTGCAACGCCTATGTCTCTGCATGCATACCCCATGTAACCCTGCATGCCTGTGTCCGTGCCCACACCTGTCACCCTGCATGCCTGTGTATATCCATGCCCGCATGCCCCATGTCACCCTGCATGCCTATGTCCATGCCCGCATGCCCCGTGTCAGCCTGCATGCCTGTGTATGTCCATGCCCGCATGCCCCGTGTCA